CCCTGAATGACCTGATGGTGAAGTGGTACAAAGAAGATGAAAAGGGGCAGATGGACCTGCTAGAAAACAATGTGACCGTCCTGCCAAATAACTCCAGAGTCTTCATGAGTGGAGACTTGTCCCAAGGGGATGCCTCCCTGGTTATCCTCAGTGTGACAACCAGTGACCATGGTATTTATTTCTGTGAGGTTACACTTCCGGACGGGAAGGTGGTGACAGGAGATGGCACAAAGCTCAGGATCAGGAGGGCTCTGGGTAACATTTGATGTTATTGACTTCTTTTCTCCTTGTTTTTCCTCCAAAGCTGGTTTACATGCTTGCAGAAAGGGAATTTGGCTTGTTTGTCCTCTAGCTGTAAGGGCCCGGTGTCATGGAGTGTAATTGCTCTATAGCATTTCTCATTAGTTTTGTAAGGCCAGCTAATTTTGATTAGCTTGTCTCCATAAACAGTCAAACAGGTATTATATAAGGAGGAGCATATACAACCAAAAAAAGAAGGAATAATTTTATCCATAAAAATTAAGTCAGTGCCAAGAATTAAACAGACAAGTTCCCTTGTAATCACAGCTCTGGCAGAACCCCCATGAGTGAAAGGTGTCAAGATATCATCTCAGGGAACAGCTCCAAAAAACTCTTTTTTTTGACATTATTTTTCTCCAACCCACTAACTTGCATAGTCATTCCTTAACTCTGGATAACATAAGTAATCCCATAATGAACACAAGGATCATATTGTATAATTTCTGATTAACTTCATTCACATTAAAATCAAAGTAGCATTAAAAGTGCCATGCTGTGTTTTCTTAGCCTCTCAGATAGACACTAGGCATATTAAGTAAAGAGATAACTCACTTTGCCTTTATCAGCTGGAAATGTCAACCCATTTTCCATAGGCTAAACACATTGCAGTCTCAAAAAGTCAACACATCAGAAGGGTTATTATCTTATTATCTAATTAACAAAAAATAGCACCTTCTGTGTCAAGAGTAAATTATGCAAGTGCCATTTCCCCCTTATTAATTACCAAACCTTCTAGCTCACCAAGATTCACTAGGTCTTTGTTCTTTTGAGCCTGATTTACTAATTTGTGTGAAACTATTCAGTTTAAACTGCAACACTAACAAGGCAAGAAAACTGTGTTCCTCTGCAAGGGCTTAGCTGTGTAACTAATGGGGTCTTCTCTTGGCTTAATCTCATAGTCTCAGTAGCGCTGGTTACTCTTGCAGTGTCTACACTCTAGCCAGTATAATTGCTTTTGTGTGTTCCTGAGACTACGAAATATGTAATTTCAGCACTATGCCATCTCTGCCATGTAACAGTCCCAAAGAGCAATCAATTGAAGAAAGGATTTCAGAAGAGCTCTGTCTGCTCTCCCATGCTGTCTTCTTTGGAGACGGACAAGGAGACCGATGATTTTGTTGAAATTGTCAGAGTAATTTTTTTTCCGTTTGAAAATAAAGCATACGGCATGAGTCCCATTAATTCAGGGAGCAGCATCTCTTGCCATCCCATAGCACCTAACTGTTAAAGGAGATTCTGAGGGCAGTGGGGCTGTCCTGTCTCTAAAGCCCCAGAAAGTGTAGCAGCTTGCTACACTGGAGTGAAAAAAATCAATACCTCTGTAGTGCAATACTCTCTCCCGCGTAGAAGCCCATGATTTCATGTCAGACAAGACATCAGCATAATCGATATCCTAGTAAGTAGCTTCCTCTTCAGCCACGGCAGAAAACATGCTGGCTGCATTGCATGTCTGCACAACATCTTATGTTACTCTCTCTACCTTCCCTTCTCCTCCAGCCTTGTTTGGTATAGAAGAATCCATTGGAACAATCATTGGGGTTGTGGCAGCCGGTATTGGAGGCATAGTGGTTCTGATCATTGTTTTAACCCCGCAGCTGAGGAAGTGCATCCTCTGCATGAGACAAGAGTCTCGCCAAAGGTACCTTTTTTTAACTTACTTAAAGAGGAATTAGCCATTTACTTACCTCTCTCTGGTCAGACATCGGATCTAGTTCAGGAAATAAGCAGTGTGCATAAAATGCTAATGGGGCTTGTTCTATATTCCATCTCTTTTTCAAATAATTCTTTGTTTATGCTCTGTAGACCTTGATGCATGGGCCTAATGAGTTACTTATAAACAAAACAATACGATCTTCTTTAATTGCCACTTTTGACAGAGTTGTTCAATGAGATGCTGCTGCTTCTTTCAACAAAGTCCTAGGACTCGTTCAGTTCTTTTAGATTTATGCTGAAGGATGGTTCTTCCTCCTACCCACTACATGCTGTGTTCTTGTAATGCTTATGTACAGAAAGCCTATGATGGCTTAAATGAGTGAGGTGTGGTTTGTAAAACCCAATAATCTCTTTTATTACATCAGCTGATCAGGTTGGAAAAACTAGAGGTTTTCATCACACATGAGCCAAAGAAATGATGCAATAAGAGGGTGATGTGCCTGAAAGCTCACCTGTTTTTTTTTTACAGTTCTGTCAACTAGTCTAGTTTGAGGAGACTGACACAGAAGGCTGGATTTTGAAGCAAGCTTAGTTCCCATTTTGTGCAACCCGAGATGTGGTATGCATTTCAGACCGAGCTCAGCTGACTTTTTGGCGTTCAGTGAGGAGATGTGTGATTCGTACCTCTTCTCCTGGCACTCAAAGGTCTTGCTCGGCCTGCTGAAAAAAATCCCCTCTCGGAAAGGCTGAAGGGAGAGCTGCTCCTGCCATTCACTGGAGCGCTGCCGCCACCTGATGGACAGTGTGGCAGCGACAGGGACGCGCCAGGAGCTCTGACTCCCTCAACGGGGAGAGTCTTCCACCCCTTGCTGGGAAGCACGCTCACTCCCTTAGGCTAATGCTGCCCACACAGCATCAGCCCTCTGCAAACCCTCTGCATGAAGAGTTCACAACTTATTTACTTGCCAGAAAGCCTTGGAGGAGTTTGTTGTATTGTGCTGACTCTGTATCGTTCACTCACTCTCTCTCCTTTCCTTCTTGCTCAGCATCGCTTGAGCTGCAACATTGCAAGAGTTGCTGGAAGATGTGAAGCCTGCAGGTGGAACAACTTCTGATGCCCTGTAAGCCAAAAAATGGAGCTCTAGACAGAATAAAAGCCTTTGTCTCTACATGTTGTCTGAGATTTTTATTTTTGTTAGCCTGTTTCTTTTCCTGCAGCTTTGACAGTCAGAGTGGCATATTCACCATCCTCCTGCAGCAAGGAGCAAAGCAGCCTTTTGTGAAGAAATTTGTATTCTCACCTGCCAAAACGCCACATAGTTTGGCTACATTTGTCTGAATTTAGACTCTGATGAGGTACTTCGGGTCTTTCCATGCTACTATTTCTTAGTTTAAAGGTGATATTCAAAGTCTCTCAGCTGTACTTCTGCAGAGACAGAAGGAACACGACCTACCCAGCTGCTTCCACCTACCCAAAGAAATCAAAAGCGTTGTTTCTGGGGTGTAGCTGTGGCTCCCATCTGCCTGTGCCTCCCAGTATAGAGGATCTTGTCCTGTTGCCTTGCTCCAGCCTACGGGCTTGTAACAAAGGCAGAAAGAAGGCCCACTTGTACATAGCTACTCCCTGGCTGAAAGAACGGGATTCTGTTTTACTCTTGCCAGAAGAAAATGTAGTGTTTTGATATAAGCCTCTAATACCCTTAAAAAAAAAAGAAGAGGAGAGAGGAAAAATGTTCTTGACATGACTGATATTTTCCACAGTCTCCCTTTCCTGACATGACAATAATTGATTCCCAGGCAGTCAGTGACAGGGGGATGTACCAATATAGGAGACCATCTTCTATTTGTATCAGAGAGCAGCATATCTACTCTGAAATGTGTGTAACACGTGAGGAGTATACTCTTTTGCAAAGTATGGCTGCACCTACTAGTAAGTAGAAGTCAGAAACACTGATCCTTGCAACACAGCTCAGAAGTGTCCCTAGTGCTGGGAGGCAGGAGCATGAGGGATAAGACAGCTGGGCTCGGAGCAACCTGATCTGACTAAAGATGTCCCTGCTCATTGCAGGGAGATTGAAACTACATGATCTTTAAAGGCCCCTTTCAACTCAAACTACCCTATGATTCTGTGATTTAAAAAAAAAAAAAAGAAAGCCATTTGGGGACAGGTGATGTGTTCCCACTGCACTGCAGGCCAAACCCTCTGTTTCTGCGAAGGACATGATCAGACCAGGATCTTGTCCTTAATTCAGCATATATTTTACCCTGTCACAGAATCACAGAATGGGTCAGGTTGGAAGGGACCACAGTGGGTCACCTGGTCCAACTTCCCTGCCCAAGCAGAGTTATCCCAGAGCACATTGCACAGGATTGTGTTCAGACAGGTCTCGAATATCTCCACTGAGAGAAACTCCACAACCTCTCTGGGCAACCTGTTCCAGTGAAGGGTCACCTGCACAGTACAGAAGTTCTTCCTTATATTTGAAACTCCTGTGCATCAGTTTCTGCCCACTGCCTCTTGTTCTATTGCTTGGCACCACCAAGAAGAGCCTGGCTCCATCCTCTGGACACCCTCCCTCCAGATTCTTATAGACATTGATGAGGTCCCCTCTCAGTCCCCTTCTCAGAAGCTCCCCTTCTCGATGCTAAACAGGCCCAACTCTCTCAACCTGTCCTCATAAGAGAGATGTTCCAGTCTCTTACTTATTTTTGTCACCTGTTGCTTCTCCAGCAGATGTCAGGGTAGTTAAAGTCCCCCACCAGAATCAGGGTTTGTGACTGAGGCTGCTTCAAGCTCCCTGTAGAAGGCCTCATCCACTTCCTCCTCCTGACCAGGAGCAAACACCCACAATGATGTCACCCTTACTAGTCTGCCCCCTTACCCTAACCCATAAGCTCTCAACTTGCTTGTTGTCCACCCCAAGACAGAGCTCAATACATTCCATATGTTGCCTCACATAGAGGGCAACTCCACCACTGCGCCTGCCTGGTCTGTCTCTCCTCCCCATAAACCCTGGCCTGATAGAAATTCTCTCACACCATTGTTAGCTCTGGTAAAGGAGGAAGAATTTTATTGCAGCACCTTTGTATTCAAAGGGTTAGAAGAAAGGTCCTAAAAAGACTATTCTGGCCCCCCATTTCTGACATGGCAGGTGGGATGAGTCCGTCCACATAAAAAATCTGGCCAGAGGATGAAGTGTGGGTTGTATGGGGCTGCTCCCCAACACTTGGCTGCTTCTTGGTCACACAGGCACACCATTTTTTCACACTGGTCTGTCAGGTTACCTGCAAAAGAAAATGTGAGCAGAGGATGAGAGATTCTATATCCGTTGAAGGCAAGAAACAGTTTTAGGAGGAACAATTCCCTGAAAAAGCAACTCTCAGGGATCAGAGGCTGTGGCAGCAGGCCCAACATGTCATGTTGTGAGTGGATCTGACCCTCCCCTGTCCCCTCTCTGTCAACAGACCAAGAACATCACAAAGTAGCAACTAAATGTAAATTGGCAGTGCTTATAAAAATTTGCCCAGTACAGAGCACTCCCTGCTTCTAGAGCTCTGTGACCAATGGGGGCTTAATTCAGCAGTCAGAGCTAAAGAAGAAAATTATTTTATCTTAGCCTGAACTAAAAATATTCTACCTTTCCTCAGTCAGTAAATTTCCCTTCTAATTCTTCCTTCTGCAAAACAGACTGATTTCAGAAGGAAAAAAATGCTGCTTTGAAAGGAGGAGCCTCCCATAGGCAGAAACCTGAGGGCATAGAAGCACCCACTGGGCATTCTTCACTCATGTTCCATTAGTTAATGTTACATCTCTCTCTGACCATGGCAGAGGAGCCAAGGAACTCTGCAACAGGGCCAGGTACCTGAATTTTATGAGCCAGCAGCTAACAAAGCTGATCAAAGCCATACATGGAACTATAGAGAATGCAACTTAGTCATGACTAGATGACTAAGTAAGGACCATAAGGAACATCAAAGCCACCAGCTTAGATGGCTACATTGCAAATGACTGATTTGGGGTTAATGAACCCCATCCCACCTCTAGGTGGCTCAAATGCAGCCATTGGGCTAATATTATTTCAAGGCAAAGTGCCTTGTTTCTTTGAGGCTGCTACCATGGATTATCTAACACTGACAAAACCTCCAGTATGCAAAGTTCAATATATAATTTCATGCAAAGTTTCACTCCAAAACCAACTGCAATGAGTACAGGAATTGTTGCAGATTACACTGGACTTTGCTGGATCAACCCCGTATCTGATAAATAAATAAAGCCTGTGTTTCCTAAGCTGGTCTGAACAATCACACATTTACTGGTAAAAAGTGTTTCAAGGATCCTACCAACTAGTTCTTTAGCACTAAGGCCACTTTTTTTTAGCTACCTATTTTGCGTGATATACCAATCTTGCCCCTCTGCTCCTTTAGTTCTTCCTATGCTGTGCTAGCCACTGTCTATCTAATGTGAGTACAAAAGCCTGGCTTCACAGCATTTCTGTTAGAGCAGAATGATTTTTTTTGACCAGCCTCCACAACTTACAGCCTTTCCTATATTTCAGATACTTATTGAATGCAATTTGCCTACAGATTATGGCATATATGGACTGAAGAATATGGTTTTGCCAATTATTTTCATATCACAAATAAAACCACTGAACGGTAGCAAAAGGAGGAGAAATCCCAGGTAAAATGAGTTTCTATTTAATTTACATGAAAATGTCTGTGTTTATGTTACAGTGTCAGGCAACAGGCATTTAATTCCTGTTGCATTGGAATGACAGTGCAAACAATTCTGCTTCTAAAGCTTCTGGACATCATTACCCTGGGCCCAGCAAGCATGCCTGGAAATTTAATTCTTCATCCCTTTTGTTTGAATGGGATCAGACATTATACCTTTGCACCCCAGTAACACCTGCTGTGCTGTAGCTTGGGGTAGGAAATATGCCTTCCGAACACATTTCTATTGTTCGTCCCCATGGGGTATATCAGGGGAAGTGAAACCTGCTGAGGGTTTGTGGAGAACAAGCCCTCATGGATGCATCTCAGGTCTTGCCTGGTCGTCAGTTAGGGAATTAATAGCATTTGTTTAACTAATGCTTGTTAGCCAAGTCAGAGCAACTGCAGCCCACTGCACTCCTATGGGACAGACTCTGCACATGTCTCATGGACTCAGCGATACATCTCATATTCACAACTTGTTCCCTCATGGCAAAAAGAAACAGGATTTTTTTTTTCATTTAAAGATGACTTGCAGAGGGTATCACTCAGTTATGGAAATGTGGGTAAGCAGGAGGGAGAGCAGTTATACATTAAAGTGGTATATTCCTTAGCCAGCACTTTGTATTTAATAGGTTGTTCCGGCACTTGGAAAAGAGCAACTGCAGATGTGCTGTGCCCCATCCCATACCTCCTGGCATGTTTTCAGCTGCTGGCGAGGCTGAGGATTGCACCAATAGAATATGGTCTTCTGATAAGTTATCTTTTAATGTTTGAGCAAGTACCTTTGATGATTATGGGGACAAGTTTTACTCTCATGTGTTTCTTTTCAAACTTTCAAAGTGTTCTACAATGGATTTTACCACCAGGGACTTCTTGAAGACTTAGAAGTGACAAATACTAAGACTCAAGTCATCTGGTGCATGTCAAAACAAACTCTGCAAGACACTGACGGGCTGTGATTGTGTAATTCAAACCTTCTTGACTGGGTACCAGCTGTAGAGCTCAGCACAGCCTACACTCGCTGTATGCCTGCAGCACTGAAGAGCATTTGATTCTACAAGCTTCAAAATCCCTGCTGGAACCCTGGGATTTTAGGCTGGAGCCCCACATGAGGCAGAGATGCAGGCTGGCACCCTGTTTAACCTGTCTTGCAGCCATGCAAAACAGCATGGCTCTTCTCTAGCAGCACATAAGGGTAAGTAAAAAAATGAACAGTCCTGTTGGAGGGAGGGCCAAAACTGCAATGGGAAGAGCACCCCTGTAGATCATTGCACAGCTGTGGAAAGAGGTCAGTGAGGAGCAGGCAATGCTTAATGCCAGTGAGTAGGTCTACAGAGAGGCATCTGCACCCCTGCCAAAATGAGATGGCTTGTGGACACCCCAACTCTCACTCTTCAGCCTGGAGACCACTCAGGTTATCTGGAATGGGTGGTGCTGGGGCTCCAGCTTTCCTCCCAGCTCTAGCTGGGGACTCTTGGCAAGCCTATCAATCCAGAGATGGGCAGAGATCTTGGTAGAGAATAGACGTTTCCTAAAGCAGCTTTGAGAGCAGCTCAGCATATACAGACCTGCCTCTGGGGCCCACAAAGCTCTTTGGTCAGCCTAGTGCCTGCAGAGGGAGAGAAACACACCCAACAGGAGCAAACATTTCCTTACCGCACTGCACGGTGTTCTGCTCACACGCCCACCGGTAGCGCTGCACCTTGGGGCTGCAGCCTGCCTTCTCTGCCTTGTCGTAGCAGCAGTCGTGCATGTGGCAGCACCTGGGAGAGAATAAAAGGTAGAGTCTGGGTGTCCTCCTGCATCCTGCATGTTTGCATATACTCCAGGACGGCTCAGCTCACACACAGCTCATGACAGCACCGTTTGCCCCTGGCTGTCGGTAAATCATCTGCTGACGAACCAAGTATCCTGACATCTGTGTGAAGGTTCACATCTCTCAGGAGCTCATTAATGCCATATTTGCTCCCATCACCACTGTGCTTCTTCCTTTGAGCTTCTGCCCTCAAAAAGGCACATATGGTCAAGACATGGTAATGTCACTGAAAGGAAGTTTTTTGCCTTCCTTAATATCACCAAGAAGCTTCATCTCTTCAGTTCACCTGGACCTGCCACATGCTCTTTGGCCAATCCATTTTCTGAGGGCTGGCTGTCATCAGTCTCAATGGTTAAATTTGTATCAGTTAACTTCAGATCCTTAAATGCTCTCTCTATGCATATCTGGGGCACAGTTCACATTTTCATGCTGCAGAGATCTAACATAGGTGAAAACCATGGTATTTGAAAGTGCAATTGCATTTTGCTGACCATAGAGGGGGATGAGGGTGAATAGCTCAGCTGATGACATCTGTCCTACAGACTAGGAAGTGAGATAACTCTCACTGTCAATTACTTCAGAATTTATATAAAACTTGACCCCACTTGAATTTTATTCTGGTAGTTTAGGGACTCAAAATAAACCAAGAAAAGATTCAGCACTTAAAGAGGTTCTCTGCTGAATAACAAAGGTTGTTTCAACAAAGATGCTAAGTCAGAGGCTGAAGGCAGATGGGAGCGATCTGTATTTCCAGAAGCCATCCCTGCACAATTGCTCTGACTCTACAGAGAAACTACTCTACTAAGCAGGAGGAATTGAGACAGGCTGGGTTTAGGGGTAAATGATGAGTGGACAGCTTTTAGAGAAGCTCTGGAGTTGTGAATGTGAATCAGTTCAAGAGGTTGGTGAACTGACCAAAAGGGAGCATGGCTGTGCTGGCTGCTTGTAGATTACCAAACACAGTTGAAGATCTTGATTATCTTCAACACCTGAAGCCAATGTACCTGAAAAGTTAATAAAAGTCTGGGATCCATCATTATGTCCCTGTGGAAAAGTGGAAAAACACTGCGAGAAGGATAAGGATTTCTTGTTCAGGAAATAGGGCTTCTCTAGGGATGTGTTGGGAGCTGCCGGTACCTTATTCGAGAGTTTAGGAGCATCAGGAACTTCATTACCCTCTGCTACAGGAGGATTTTGCCCTTTTAGGAATTTGTTTATGGATATGAGGGGTGGTGGGCTCTGTGAGGTGATAAAGCCCAGGAGAAAAAAACAAACCAAACCAAACGAACCAACCAAACAAACAAAAAACCCACCAATTTTGGAACTGCAAAGAAAATTCACCACTGATGCAAATTCTAATAAAATCCCTGGAACCAGATCAGGTGAATCAGGTGAAAGAGACAACAGATCAAATTCAGCCTTCATGTAACCCCTGTGATTATATGGAGGCTGTATTTAGTTCAGTCTGCTTTCCCTACTGACTGAGGTCCCAATTTAGTGGTTAAAAGTAGCAATTTCATCCCACAGATGAGTCTGTGAGCTAAATGCTTTTTTTTCTCTACCTCGGAAGATGAAAGCTGTGTGAAGATTACAACCAGACTGCTCACTGCATTGTGAAACGTAGAAATGTAAGTTAATTGTAGCAGACTAGTATCTTCCATGCCAGCTCCTCAAAGGACTTTGGAAAGGGACTAAGCCCTATGGGACATACATATCTAGAAGTTTTCCCATGAGGAGTTACAGCAATTGCTATAATTGAGAAGACCTTACCCAGCCTATGGAACCAGTTCCATTGGACATGACAAGAGTAGCAGGCTGTGGGTCAGACCTTTGTTGGTCTGGTAACACTTGCCTCCTAGGCTTGTCCTGAAGAGGTTAGACATGAAAGGCTAAAGGAGAGAAGAATTTACAGCCTTGTGGAAAGTGTGAAAGTCTCGGCTTTCTCCAACATTTGAGTCCATATGCAATGTGTCATAAAATATGGCAGGGATGGATTAAGGCACTGAGCTACAACTGGGGTATGTGTCATCTGGAGGATTTGCTGTAGCCCAGGGCATCCTGGCTAAGACCTGAAGCTTCAGCAAAGCCTAATCCATCCTCAGGGGGATGACAGAGAGCAGAACAGGCCCATCATCGGTGTCTCATATATGGGACACAGTGCACAGGAGGCCATGGTGGAGAGCCACAGTCAGGCTGAGCTGAGGCAGAGTGCCAGCTGTAGAAATCACAGGGTTTGTGAGGTCTGGGGAGTAAACCAAGAGGCAAATTGGGAAAGTTGGTGTCAGCGATGGAGGTACGTAGGGAGGAAGAACAACATGAAGGTAGATGGGGCAAAGGAAGGTGTTAAGAGCCTATGCCAAGGGAAAGAAACTGTTCTTCATGGATAGCCAGAGGGTACAAACAAAAAAAGAGGTAGGAGAAGAGAGAACAGATATTGCTGGAGTAAAAAGATGGTCTGGGAATCATGCAGGGACAAGCAAATAAGCACTAGAGCGGTGAGCAAGTTAGCTGTGAGAACTCACTGCTCCTTATCTGGCTTGGCAAAACCAGGAAGAATTGCATAAATTCTGCAGGACCACAGGATTTGGGACACAGTTCTGTTTCCCCTTACAGGAGTTCCTCCTGATGACACCCATAGCTGCAGCAGGGTGACATGTAGCTTACACCAACTCAAAGTGAGAAGACTTTGGCTCATATTTTACAAACATCTGTTTCAGATGTGATGAGATGCCAGGGAGCAAAGACTGAGGAAGCCTTTTGCTGTCCTTTGCCACCTTCAGATAGTCCCCTCCTGTCTGGAAATGCCTTTTGCTGCACCTGGGTCAGAGTGGTGTTAAGCTTTTAATAACCTGGTAACACCAACACAAACAGAGCCGGCCAACATCATGGCAGAGCACTGGTCAACAGGTATGGAGAACAAATACAACTGTGTCATCTAGATAGTAAACAACCTGTTCATCACCTCTGGGCTATGAGACAGCCCTAATGGCTACAGACAGCTCCGGCTGGTCCCCAGGGATCAGCCGGCCAGACCCCTGCTGTGGAGTAAAAGCCAATAAATTAAGAATTTGTCACATTGTGTTTGTCATGTTAACAGCCCCATCACTGCTGTGTGGCTTTTTCTTTTGCACTTTGCAACAGAGGGAGAAATCGTTCTCCTTCCTATGCGTTTTCCAGGACTTAAAGGTTGGACTCAATGATCTTCTTCAACCTTAATGATCCTATGACTTAGATGAGTCATATATGCCACTCTGCCTCTCATGGCATTGGTGTTTTCAGGGAAACACTGAGCACCCTCCAGGTCCCGCTTTACAAAATAGGTGCTGCAGCAACCCAGGGAACCAGAAAGGAGAAGGAGAAAAAAAAATAATCCATTTACGATGTGGAAGAGATGCCATTATGTCCTGAAGTGGTGAGACTGTAAGAGTGGAACAAAAGGGAAAAGGTAATTACTGACAACACCACATCAAAGTCAGTGCATGGAATAAACCTTGTAAAAGGATTGCTCACTTAGTGGCTTTTTTCTTTTCAAATAAAAGAGAGGTGCTTAGAAGCATTCTAGCCCTGTCTAGACAGATTGACTGAGTTACTCACAAGAAAATTACTCCTTTTGTAAGGGTCTCGGTAACAAACCTAGAATGTCAAGAGAGGGGGTAATTTCAGACAGTGTTTGTCATTCATGGTCAGTAGTTTTTGCCACTCTGCTTCCTTCTTTTTTAGAATGGCAAATACGGAAAGTAAGTGGACACTTTCACAGGCATGGAGTACTCAACCACACTGATCTTTGCAGCATTCTCTGTAACAGATATCAATATTTCTCTAACAAACAGAAAATAGAATATTTTAGGGCTAAATCTAGTGGGGCATTGCTGGTTCTTCCCAGCTAAATAAAACCTCCCAGTTTTTCTATTGCAGCCAAGCATTGCAGCTAAGGAATAATAATGACTGTACTTAAAGGATCAAGCTTCCCTTTTACAAACTATCTGGTATTTTGAGGCATTTCCAGTTGCAAAGTCTCATTTTCTGCTTTTAGGATAAAATCCATATCCAATGGGATTCAAACAACAGCAGAAACACTGGCTGCTGAATATGTGGCCATATTTTACTCTCTGTTTTTTAGGAGTGCTGACTATTTGCATCTCCTGGAGTCACATAAACTTGGAGGTCACTCAGCCTCTATGGAAAACAGCTTTTAGGTCCCTCTGCTCAGCCCTTCAATAAAAGCAGTACTCTAAATTAATGAAGTCATGTTTTACTTTAAAGGCTTTATTATGAGAACTGGTAAAGGGTAACAGAAATAATTAGACACTTCACATCCACTGCTGTAGATGGTGATAAGCAGATCAAGAGATATTACTGAAAGTTAAAAGAAACCTATACACCTGAAAGCTATGACCCTTTGTAGGTAGTTACTCATCATTTCTGAGCCCCATAGTGACTGTTCATAGAAATATTTCACGGATAAAAAAAAGGGGCATGATGAGATGGCTTTGGGAGAATAACATCTCACTGCGTTAATGAAGGCAGCTCCATTAGTTTTAAGGGACAACTTCTTTTTCATGCCCACAGAGGAGCTGGTCTTTAACCTTGACATCTTTTCTTCCTTTTTTTTCTCTCCCTTTTTCTTACCTGGCAATTCAGCAAAATTTTGTAGCAATGTGAAATGTCTCCAGCAGCAGGGTATTCTGGAAAGCTCAGTTTTCTTTCCAGTGAGCTGCAGACTGCCTTCACCACTGCTAAAAGCAGGGCTTGCTTATCAGTAAGGCCTAGTGTGTTGACTAGGCAAAGACAGACTTGTGTGCTCTGCCTTTGATATTTCAAACTGGATGAGACTGCAAATAACAGGTTCAGAGCACAGGAGAGTCCACTGTGCTCAAGCTTTACATGTATGCTAATCACTAAGTACACGAAAGAAACCTGATTACAACATTTCCTAGACACATTGCTTGTAGTCTTGGGAATAACAAGCACATCATCTCCCCCCACTAATGAAGAAAAGGGGAAATAACACCATGCTCCCCCTTGTTGTTTTTCCCTGATTCAGTGTGAACTAACAGGCAATGAAGGCAACAGGTTTGATTGATTCCTCCTTGCAACAATCTGGATTTATTCAAGAGAATAAACAGTGATATTCCCATTGCTGACATTTTAAGGACCTGGGTTAAATAACCTTCCAAATACCTTGGATCACTCTCTTTTTGTCAGGCAGAGTTTGCTCTCTATGAATACATATTCAGCTATTTCAGGAAATTAAATCCTGGTTTCCCCTTTGCCTTCTACCCCACATAGCACAAGGTCCCAAGAGCTTTGGTCTCATCCAAAAGGAGGCTAAACCCTCATTCAAATCCCAAGTGATATGTGGGTCCTTACCCACAAATCCTCAGTACTGTTCATATATACTAAGTTCCCTCTCCACAAGGCAGGAAATGAGTCCGTGGAGTCACAGTAGTACAAACAGGGAAGGGTGGGAAGGCCACTGCTTCTGGACACATAGATGATGTTTTTCTTACCAGTCTGTTTTATCTTTAGGCCAGCCTCGTCCTCCCAGTCCACAGTAGCATCCATAGCCAATATATGCCAAGGGAGACCGTCCCGTGCCACATGATATAGCTCCAGCCAATTCAATGATTCCTCGAGTGTGCAGTGAATGCGATTTTCCCAGAGCACCTTCCCAAACTGCAAAGACAGGACATGGCTACACAGAGGAATTAAACTCACCTGCCACTGATTTTCCTACAGTCCTTAAAGGGAAATGGTTTTGGTTTTGACTGGTTAGTTGGTTGCAGCCCTAACAATCTAACTAGCCATGACATTCAGCTGGTAAGGGGGACTCTGCAGGAGGCTTTGCCTGAGGTCTGGGATGACCAAGAGGTGGATGCAGAAATACCCAAGCAGGGTACTTCTAAGGGAGCTCAATTCAAGCAAGATTTACTATTTCCAGTCGATTAGTCTGTGATTGCAGCTCTATTGCACCCAGGAGCAGCATGCCTGGTTCTTCACATCACAAAGCTCAAGCTGCTAAGCTTTGCAGGGCCTGTGCTGGCACCATGCAGAGCCAGCTAGGCTTCACTGCACTCCAGAGCTTCCAAACCTGGGAAAGTTTTCCAGCTATGCTGTGGTCCCAAGTGGGACAAGAAGCAGCAGAGTACAACCACGCAACCAGACCTAACCTAGGCTCTCTGGAAAAAAATGAGGTTTCTGTGTTGCCCAAAATTTCTTACGTTATCTGCTATCCAGGATGTTTTAACCCATTCTCCAGGTGGCAAAAAGCTGACTACTATTAGTTTGCATTAAGGGATAGCTACAAGTCCCTGAGCCTGTACAGTACATACTTTGTCAAGAGTATGAACTGTAGATACATACACAGAGTGCCTACATTAGCCAAGAGCTATGTATATATCACCTTTCTTTTGAGACTTTGGAAGTGCTGGCAACACTTGCATCCACTTCCGTTATTAAGTTCCACTCAAGTCATAACAGGTTGGCCACATTAATTTGGGGGAAAAAAAAAAAAGAAAGGAGCTCTATGTCAGCTGAAGTGTCTGAATTACCACCCAAGCCAGTCTGGAGATTTCTGAGTTACAACTTTTTGGTGTTGTGATTTCACATGTTAATTTGCAACTTTTTTGGAAACCACAGACTCTGCAGTATTGTTATGGAAACCAAGAGTACCCTGCCCCTAATACTCAAACCACTGTGATGCTCAGCTGCAAATGCTGATGCTTATCATGCTAACAATAGTGACAAATAAGAGTATTTTATGCCTGGGCTTACTGTGAAGGACCAAGTGCGCTTTGCTCTACTCTGTCCTGAATTGCAAAGCTACTCACCAGTAGCATCAAACCCCTCAGACCAACAGCCTAACCCATGTGCTCGTCCTACCCATGCACAACCACTCCAAAAAGAAACAAGGGGACTTCGTGGCACGCTTGGATGGAGAGGGAAGTGATGCCTGGGAGCTGGGAACTTGACACTGAAGTTGCTTTGCCACCTGCCCCTGGTTATTGCAGCACGCTTGACCTCTTCAAAGTGTTGTGCAAACATGGACTAATTAATCCCCTAAACCACCCAAGGACTCAATACTATTATTAAAACAGTTGCTTTCCTTTTAAAACCTAGCCTCTAATCCCCTTGCTTGGGCCTCTCCCCACATCTTCTGGGCTAGCTTGCCCTCCGAGCCCAATCCAAGTGCCAGTGAGGACAACGAGGGTCTCTCCTCATGAAGGACAAAGCTGGACTTTGTTCCCTCTCCACAGCCCAGGCCCCCAGCAGGAACTGGCACTGTCCTCCACTATTTTCACCCCTGTCCTCCACCATTTTCACCCTGGCGATCGCACCTCGGGCTGTCCCCGGCATGGCATGGGGTTTCAGCAGAGCCTCCCTCTGCTTCCTGGGGCATTCCTCGGGGATTAAATGCACATTCCTGAAAAAGTAACAGCGCTGCTCACCTAAACACTACTTGAGTGTTCAGGTTGCGTACTAAAAACACATTATATGAGTGTTACTCAAAACTAAAAAGACCACTTATTTTCCTTGTCTAAACAGCAGGGCTTCAGAGTTAGAAGGGGGCTCAAGCTCTCAGGCACCTCAGGGGAAATCACAAGCAGTAAGCTGCTTTGGATTCGGGGAACTAAATCATGCTTTTTTAACCTGTTGCAGTTTGCAGACCCTGAAAATGTTCCAATGGAGACAAAAACTTCTTTGTAGGCACTCTGGCTTCCTGACGAGCAGATTGAATTTTTTATGGCTATCTTTCACTGGCCTTTTAAGCCAGGACTGCTGGACTTGGTCTGTTGGCCACTGGCTGAAAATGATGTAAGGTAACTGTACCTCACCCAGAAGAAAGGCCATTCTTCTTTTGGGGATATCTCTGAGGATCAAGGAACTGTAATTACAGTGCAGACCTGCTCATGAAGTAGAGTGAAAGCCCCAAAGGAAATTGAGTCCAAAAGACTCAATTAGTGTGCTTAGGGCTGCATGTTCTGCAAGAGGCATTCAGGCAGCCTCTGATGTTCCTGTTCTTTGAAAGCTGCCTGGATTTTGAGCCAGTAGCGGGTTGCTGCAGCTGAGAGGTCAGCCCCAGAAAGTACATTTTAATATTCAGGTGCACAGCTAATAACTTGACCAAGAACTGAAACTACTTTTTCTATGCTGGGCAGCCAAGCCAACACAGCTAGGAAAGCCTTGAAAAAGTCTGAATCTCCACAGTAGCCTGCATCTAGCCACATTTCCCACTAGAAGCATGTCCAATCATTAGTTATACTACTAATGGAGCAGTGGAGCACCTTGGCTAGGAACATACCTGCAGAGAGGTGAGCAAAGGTGGATCTGACAACTTACACTTTCTATGTCCTTCTTACACTGGCAGCCTTTAGATTAAAGCAGAGTTTTGCTTTTTATTTTGAAACTCTACTGCAGGTATAACCTCAGACCTGCCAGTTTACTGTTGTCTCTGTGTGTAGGGGCTTTATGTCATTTATGGCTTTTATAAACAGACTTCTTAAAAATTATTTTAAATTCAGATGAATTGAAAACTGCTTACTCCATAGTTACTGGTATAAAAAGAAGGTATTTTTATGAAACACGGACATTAAAAACTCTGTAGCAGAAAACTATTAAAAAAGAAAATGGCCTGTGTCATACAGCCCCAGCTATGCAAACCATAGCTGGGGCTGGGAAGTGAGGTGGGCAGGCAGGTCACTTACACAGCTCCTCACTGTAAAGTTGAAAATTGTCCAGTGACACTTTTTTTTTTTCTCACTTGGCCAAATCACACCGAGGTGCCTGCTGTGAAAAAGGCAAAGCTGACGGCAAGGGGAGAGGCTGTCCCCAGACAGGGGGGAGGCATGGCAAGGCAGAGGGACCGAGAGGTGGTACTCACCTGCCTGAAGCAGCATCAGTACGAGCAGCCAGCGGGAGCCCATGGGCAGATCACTTCCACGCTCGTGTACTTCGGGGTTCAGCCGCCGGCACTCCCGGCAGCGCCTCGCCGTGCTGCCAAGTGAGCCGAGGTGTGGTTGTGCTAAACAATCTTCCCGGGCTGCTGCTCCAGGGTTTATATATACATGGCTCTGCGCCCGTCTGAAGAGAAACACCCTCTTCTGCGATGTCCCTGAGCCCCAGCTCGGGTCCAGTCCGTCCCCGCAGAAGGCTCCTTGCTGCGTGGGGAGAGGGCGAGGGCTGGCTCTGTTTGCCCAGCATCACCTTTGGGAGGGAGGGGCTGCTGGAAGGGCATTAGGGTGGTAGTCTCCGGGACAGCCCAAGACACCAGGCACTAAGCCGGGCTCCTTCTTTAAGCTGTTTGCTTACAGACCCTGGTTAACCTCTGAGTAGCTGCGGAAAAGGGAAGCCTTCAACTGGGCTTTCTGTGGCTTGAGCTCGCTGCTGTGGCATCCCCCTGGCAAGGATTTTCTCTTTTTATAGATCACTTTCCAGGGTATTTTTTAAAAAATTATTTTATTTTAAGACTGATTATTTTTCATGTTTAAAAAAGAAGAGACAAAACTATAAAAATCCAACAGAAAGAATACTGTTAAGTGCAAGTACCCAATTATAAACTGACCAGCTGAGCTAATTCTGCACCACTCTGAGGGAAAAATACTCTCTTGGCCTATTGCTGCACCTGACCAACATCAATTGATTTCATGAAGTCCCATCAGTATATGGGTACCAGCCAGGTAGCCAGCAGCTGGGGCCAGTCCCACAGGGCCAGCTGAGCTCTGGTCACAGCAGGCAGCTGGATTGGAAGGTGTTCTTCTCGTAGCACAGTCTCCACTTGTACAGTCTCAGGCAATGTGAGCAGGAGGGATGTCCAAAGTTATTTTGCCTTTGGGCTTGAAACAGCTCTAAAACTCCCACCCTTCTTGGTGCAGCAGCCACCTGCCTTGTTGGGGTCTAAATATCTGCCCCTTCCCTGGTGTGGGCATGATGGGCAGGGTGGGCTGCTCTGCTGGGAGAGGAAGGGGAGGGGAAGAGGGCTGTTTGCCTTCTTCCCCTGCACTGCCCAGGACTGCCTCAGCAGCACCCCTTGCCTGAGTTGCCCATGGCAAAGTTGTGCTTCCCTTCTTAATGGCATGGGTTTAAACATTTGCTTTCTAAATATTGGTACTCAAATCAAAGGTCATCAGCAATTCATTTAATGGGCTTCCTTCTGCTGAGTCCTGCCCTAGTGCAGCTGCTGGCACTCTTTGCCAAGCAAGTTTTCAGGATACAGTATATACTGGGTGCCTTTGATACAGGGCAAATGAAACAGAACTGAGCAAATCTCATGAACACCACTCACCCAGTTGCTCCCTGCACTACCTCAGAGGGGCTTGGGAGGAGCTACACAGCTTATTCTTCTGCCTTTGGAAACTCCCTTCAGTAATTATTAATTTACTCAAGTAATAATGCCAAATCATACAGAATCATTGAATCATAGAATGGTTTGGGTTAGAAAGTACCTTAAAGATCATCAGTTCCAACCCCCCTGCCACAGGCAGGAACACCTTCTACTAGATCAGGTTGCTCCAAGCCCCATCCAATCCAGTCTTCATCACTTTCAGGGATGGGACATCCACAACTTCTCTGGGTAACCTCACCACCCTCACAGTAAAGAATTTCTTCCCCATATCTGATCTAAACCTGCCCTCTTTCAGTTTAAAGCCATTCCCCCTCATCCTGTCTCTACATTCTTGTAAAAATATCCCTCTCCATCCCTCTTGTCAGCCCCTTTTAGGTATTGAAAGGTGATATAAGGTCTCCCCATAGCCCACTCTCCTCCAGACAGAGCAACCCCAAGCATCTCAGCCTGTCTTCATAGGAGAGCTGCTCCAGACCTCTGATCATCTTCACTGTCCTCCCCTGGACTTGATCCAACATTCCACCTCCTTCTTATGTTGGGACCCCAGATCTGGATGCAGTACTCCATGTGGGGTCTCACCAGAGTGGAGTAGAGGAGCAGAATTACCTCCCTTGGCCTGCTGGCTACGCTCTTTTGATGCAGCCCAGGACATGTTTGGCTTTCTGGGTTGCAAGTGCACGTTGATGGGTCATGTCAACCTTCTTGCCCACCAACACCCCCAAGTCCTTCTCCTCAGGGCTTCTCTCTATCCATTCTCCACCCAGCCTGTATTTGTGCTTGGGGTTGCTGTGTATGTGAGCTGTTGTTGGCCAGTGTCTGACCTTAAGAATATAAGTCTGAGGAAGGAGAATGCTGGAGGGCAGTTGTGCTGTGATCAATGGCTCTGTGGATACCAATCCCGTGGAAGTGCAAAGAAGAACACAGGCTTTGAAACACTGTGGGGGGCCTGGCTGAGCAACATGCCCTGTTAGAGCAAGCTCCAACCCTGACAGGTGCTTGGCAAGCCCTGTTCTTTAGTGGGGACCAAGAGGGAGTTGTGAGGAGCCTCTACAGGTGCTTTACAGGATTCCTTGGGTCCCCAAGCCTGGGAACTTCCTCCAAGGGCCGAAAGTGTCTACTCTATGACTTGGATTTGAAAACTGACATTTAATCTTTTTCTTTCAAAGCCTTGATGAATTATAAACCTGATCAAAAAAACACATTATAAAGTTTCAGATCACAAATTAATTCTATTCTTCCCATTCTCACAGTCTCCCCAAATAACAGATGAGGGGTTTTGCCCCCCATTTAGCAACAAATATGAAATAAAGAAATAGAGACTCCTTTCATAGCCAAATATATTTGCAGTGTTTGAAGAAGACTTCTGCAGGGTATTAGGGAGGGATGTCCAAATTCAGCCTTAAAGTGGGAAGCAGAATTAATGTATTGCTTCCCTGTGATTGTTTCACACCACTGACTGGTCAAGTTTGTTATTTATCTGTGCAAGTACTGGTTACTGTTGCCTAAGTTAATGGGCATATTTATTAAACAGTATTAAGTGCTAATCACGTTCTTACTATATTATGTCAAATGCACTGAGATCAGGAGGGCATTTTTTATTACTGTTTAGGGAAACAAAATGAATTCCCTGATCCCACCCCTTCATGTGCATTTTGCATGTTACCTGTTTGAGCTCCACTTCTCACTGGTGACGGGAGGCAGCACATGAGGCTGTTGGATATCATCTCATCAAACTCAGCTATGCAGATTACTGTCTGTCCAAAACTGCAGGTGCGATAAACTTACTTTGAGCCTCGGGTCACTTGTGTGGGGCAATCGATCTGTACTGTTGGAGGCCTATTTCTTCAGCTCTGTTGAAAACAGAGTTCCTTTGGCATGTACCACCAAACCAGCTGGCCTTCAGGGATGATATTACTTCATGCTCTTGGACTTGTTGTTGAAAGACAATATTAGGGAAAAGTCTTCAGTTGAAGGGGAGAAGAAATTTCTAAGGACTCTACAGTTTTTAACGAAGTTTACCTAACACAGTTCAAGATGTCAGATCTTCTTGTAGAAGCTGGGCCGTCCTTCACCTCATAGAGTCTGTTCTTCCTCAAATGAAATACCCAGACACCTCTGTGGATGTCACCACTAACCACAAGAAGAGGTCTCTGCTCAGTACCAGCAGAAGGAATGATGCTTCCTATAAGGGGCAGGGGAAGCTTTCTTGCAATACTGGATCTGCCCTTCCAAAGACTGGTTTGTAGGACTAAGGAAACTGCAGGATACAGAATGACTGTTTGGGTAGTCAGATTTAGAAGAGAAAATCAGTTCTAAAGGGAAAAAAAACTCCACGTTACCTCTCAGGAGGAAGAAAAATAACCCTAAGACTGCCACATGATTTGTTGTGACATAACCAGTTACAGAGTTAACATAGCAATATAATAAGCAAACAGTCTTGTTTAATATTGACTCGCATGGAAGGTCTGCACATACTTTACTGCTGATACAGCCCAGTCAGACTTTGATGAGGAAAGACAACATTATTATTATTTCCAGTTTCTAAGACACCCCCTAAAGGAGTTTTAAAAGTGGCTTCTGGTTTGTGGATGTCCAGTATGTATCTCCTTGAGCTTCACTGCTGTTCTGCACCGGTCTCATCTTGATGGTGGCGTTTCTGAATAGTGAAGCTGGATGTCTCCAGCCTGCAGCACCCTCTCAAAGTCAGTGCCTGCTTTTGTTGTCAATAGTCAGTCACACACACACCTCTCTCAGGTGACAAAGGAGAAAGGCCACCTCTCTCCGACTTTTGCTGTCACAGGTTTTTCCCAGCAGAGTCTCAGCAGGTGCTGTCTCCTGAACTGATTGTGGGGGACCTTCCCCCTGGAAGCTGTTTCTACATATGATGTTCCCATTCTGCACACTTTCTTGGAGTTCTCCCATGAAGGAGTGGACCTCATGGTCCATATGTATAACTCTGCTGGAGGAAAGGAGGCAGAGCTGATACAAGTCAGAAATGATGGATAGTTGAAACAGGGGGGTAATGTGATATGCTGAGGGAGCAGTAGCTTCTTCCTATTTAGCATTGCTGGATGTAGGGTAAACATTGTGGGCCATGTGCTGGAGAAGAGCTACACTACCCCAGCAGGCTGCCTTTCCATCCTCATGGCTGCCTCCATCCAGCCCTCGTGAGGATCTGTCACCGCTCAAGCTCTGTTCATTACACATGAAACCCAGAACTGCAACCCTTCACACATCCCTGCCACAGGCCGTGGAGAGAGGAGATGCAATCCACAGAAGGGATATGGGGTGCAGGTGTCCCCTTGTTGTGCAGTCACTGCAGATGGGTACAGGCCCTGGCTGCCTCCTTCTCTTGTCACTGGAAATTTCAAGGCTTTCTGGCTTTAACAGTCTTCCCAGGTGTTAGCGACACTATCTCTTATGCTGAGGCCTTCAGAAGTGTCCATTCCCTAGTTTGTTTTGCCCCCTTTGCTGTAGAGCAAGCAGCTGTCCTGCTGCCCGAGGGACAGGCTCGCTCAGGAACAGAGAGGTTCTTCTGGTGGGCCTCACATAACCTACTGCATCTGTCAGGACAATGGGGCC